AAGTCTTTCAATAGTTTTACTGAATTTTTCAACTTGTTCCTCACTTACTTTTAATCTTGATTCCAAATCACTAATATATCCTTCACTATTATCCGAATTATTTTTTAAATGAACAATCTTATTTTTTAATTCATTAATTAATTCTTGATCTTTTTGTTGTTCCAACACAAAAGCTTCCAATTTACGTTCCAAATCTCTGATATAACCTTCGTTAGTACTTTCATGTTCAGTCAAATTAGCAATTTTTAATCTTAAATCATTAATAAGAGCAATATTTTGATCATTAATTCGTTCAGCATGCGCAAGTTTTGATTCTTGTTCTTGCATAACAGTTTCAGTATGACTTAAAGCAGCTCTTGCAAGTGCTAATTGAGATTCCAAATTTGAAATAGATTTTTCATATTCTTCTATTACAGGTTCTACAACTTTTTGGAAGTTTGCCAATCTTAATTCTTCTTCCGCTTCTTCAGTTATGGATTCTAAACCACTTTGAGAAACCAATTTAGAATTTGTTTGAGTGGTAGTATCAGAAGGAGAACCACGTAAAGAAGTAGAATCCATATTTTCTTGATGAATAGCAAGTTCAGCAGAAGTTTTTGCATATTTTTGAGATAATTCGGCATAAGATCTTTGTAATTCAATTAATTGTTCTTCAAGCATTTCAATATCTTTATCATTTTGTGATCTTGAAAATTCATCAGCATTTGTTACTATAGAAAGACTTGTTGAAGATCTTTTCGAACCTCCTCCATATGTTGATGTAGGTGTACTAGGAGTATTCCTTCCAGACATCATAGTAGGAGTATTTCTTCCCGACATCATAGTAGGAGTATTTCTTCCAGACATCATAGTAGGAGTATTTCTTCCAGAATTATTATAAGAATCATTTCCATCAATTAAACCATTTGGTAAACTAGTACTTTTTAATGCTTTAATCTCTTTTCTTAATTTTAAAACCAACGTTCTTAAATGATCTAAATCATTCCAACCAACTTCTTCAGAATTAACGGTTGCAGTATTTTTAATATTTCTTGCACGATTAGCATATTTAAGAGTATTTAAAGATTCAGTAAGATTTGATTCAGTAGGTGATACGCAAGCAATCATTAAAGTTCGTGCGTTACCACCTAAAGAGTCTTGTAATAAACGAGTAAGCTTAGAATCACGATATGGAATATGAGTTATATGTTTAGCTTTAGTAGGATCACCAAGAGCGGAGATTACATTGCCTAGAGCTAAAAGACCTGAATTTATAGAGATGCCTTCCTTTGCACGTTCTCCTATAGCAGATGTTCGTTTCAACTATTTTATGAATAAAATAAATAAATAAATGAATAAATAAATAAATGATTAAAAAAATTTTTTTTTTTTAATGTATATATAAAGAAAATAATAATAGTATAATAGTATAATACATACCCTTTCACTACCAGCCAAATCCACAAAATGAAATTTACTTGAAATCGAAACACATTCATTATCATCTAATTTTCTACTCAACCTCAAACTACTTCCTGGCCTTATTTTTGAAGGTGTTGATGGTCTGCTGGTAGGTGAAATCGGAGAATTTGGAAGGATATTGGAGTTGACATATTGGGTCATCGTGACACTAAAGATTGCGTGAGATCTTGAAGATTGGGCATTCATATCCGTTGCTCCTACTTGACGATTTTGAGAACCTCGAGACAAGTGACTTTATGTATAAGGAACATAACAGTAATAAAAGTAATAAATTAGTAATAATAATAATAATAATAATAATAAAATAGTAATAAATAGTAAAGAATAAAATAAAATATATTGTAAGAAATAAAATAAAAACCTAAGTTCGTAATAATAAACATTTACCTCATAACGTCTTCAACGCCATTAACTTTAATCTCTTGCAAACCATTCCAAATTATATTTCCTTTAGAATCTTCTCTTATGGTAACTTGAGGTTTATTATCACCAACATTATCCGCAAACAAATCTATTAAATCTTCATTATAAATTTCAATGAAACTAACTTTAATTGAAAAGTTTCGAGATTTTAGTTGCGAAGAATTCATTGTTTTGAATAGAGTTGAGATGGCACGTGGAATTATTCCTTTAGATTCCGAAGGAATGTCATGGTTGTTTGCGGTACCCATTGTGTGGGTTTTACCGGATGACGTCTGACCATAAGCTAGGATCGTCACATTGTAACCTTTGGAAAATTAGTTGATACAACTTGTTAATAGCATGTTTCATATTTTTTTATACTTTATTAATCTTGATTATATTATCGTCTTTATAATATATATATATATATATATAACACACTTGAGATTATATTATTTATCTATACAATTTTATTTTTATAATTCTGAATACACTGTATTTCTTTAGGTCAATCGTTAATAAAATCGAGTTTTGTATAAACTCAATTGTTTTGACACATTTGTATCTAAAGAACGCAATGGTTACAATTATTCCAATACAGATCACTTGTATATATAATTTAAATCCCTTACTATTCTTTAAAAAAAAAACTTACCCTCTAAAAACTGATGGACTAATTTCTCGACACCTTTTCCATAGACTTCAGATTGACCAGCTTCGGGACCAAAAACATAATCAAAATTAAAACATTGTTTCTTTTCTCCTTGTACTACCACCACCTGATTTGGAGATTGTGGAGAAGTAGTGACCACAGGGCGTTGAAACCGAGATTGCTTTACGGATGAAGCTTCATTTACTATTGGTCTTATTCGGATGGCTAATAACGAAAGAGATTTATTTATGAGTTAAGTTTAACGCGTTATTCACAACAAAATATTTACAGCAAGTAATAAAAGTTGCTTTTTTTATCATATTTAGAACAAAAAAACGAATGCACTTACCAACTTGTACAGAAGTCTTTTCCGAACTTCCGATAGTAGCCATTAGCTCTTTGGCAGTAACAACTTATGTATTTCAATTTTTTTTTGTTTTCTTTTTTTTTTTTTTTTTTCTCTGTGATGTGCTGTAGAATAAAACGATACTTTACAAATAGGCAATAAGTGCAGCCGTGAATATTGAATAAGTATATATCAATAATAAGGAGCAAGAAAGAATTTGGGTTCCAGCCCACTTTGTCGTCAGCTATGTATTTGCACTAAATTGAAATATATATATATTACACGATTGTTAACAATTATGATTTTAAAAAAACAAAAACGTCGAAATTTATGGTAAAGGTGAGGTTCGGGAGGTAATGGTATAAAAAAAGGAA